TGTTCTAGACGTGAGTTGGCATCACTGCCGTCGTCTGCATTGTCTACGTAAAGCTTACGCTACCTGCCGTAGGATAGCGCCACCAGCGCCTATGCGAACTGACCTCTGACGTACTGAACCAATAAAGACTCTCTTATCTCATCAACCATACTGGAGTTCGGACCTTCTCATTTAATCCTTTTACATCCTCACACTGGATAACCACATGCAACTAGAACATGGCGCAGTCGTTTCACGGACCATTTAAGTTTCCTCGGGAAAGGGAAGGAAGGCAAAATAGGGTGAGTGTGAGTGATTGAAATATCACGAATCGGAGCGAATGACCGACTCTTGTGTGAGAAGGGCAATCCTAATCTCTGTGAATTTCTCTGTTGTGTTACATGTGTTTGGCGGTGAGGTGTGCTGTAAAGACGCCTCGTTAGTGGACCCCTGTGTGAACTGTGTGCTTGCATTAAATCTAATCAGTGCGTAAAGTAGAGACAGTGAACCAGAAATGACAGTGTTTGAGTGCTTGACATGAAATTGTGTGCAAATGCATCTCATATGTAACGACAATCAGCTCCATGCTGCAGTTACGAGGGCTCTTTTTCCCTAGAACCTGTTGGTTCTGTTATTGAGATATTCTATCTGAAACGTGACGGCCAGAAACATGTTAGTGTTACTGGAATGATGAGTTGCACAGGAACACTCTGAAGTGATCCGCTGCAGTATACTCTCATTGGGTCATAATGTTTTATCAGATAAATCGAAATGTTTGGAAACAAACTTTTGCTCCTGTCAAGTTGCACATGTCTGAAGTGAGTCCATCACAATGCCAAAACAAGTCATTTTGTCGACTGAATGCTGAAGCATGCTCGTACCATTGTTCTATTGTTGAAAAACAATAAAAAGAGACACAATACAAATTAAGTGTGTTCATTGTGAGAGTCCCCTTGTGTTGGGTTCCACCTTCAAAAAAGAAAGTCACCGTAAAACTGGTGAGCTTAGTCACAAAAAAGCTATCCCACTGGTGAAAGCATGTGACCTTATGTCATCGTAAAGATTGACATGAAGGACGCAGTAGATAACATCTACCTTGTTCTGAATTGTTCACAAAGTGTCACAATGACATACTAGAGCTTGGTGATCTTTGTAATTAAAAGGACACCTTGGTCTGGGACAGTCAGTGTTTGAACACTCTAATTGAACGTTGAGTGTCATACAAAGACAGCCTCGGTCCTGGTGATTTTAGGAATCAAGTACTTGTCACCCTGTGCTGGGAAGTCTAGTGTGTCACCACTCTAATTGAATAGAAAATGAACAAAGGCTTTTTACTCAGTATGCAGTGCATACCTGAAAGAGACTTAAGTGTCAAAGTGATACCTTTACTACCATACACTGGTAATACTGCTCATTACTTGTAATGAAACGTTCCAGGTTGTTTGGCAAACTGTGGGAACCTTTATCTGACATTGCATGTCAGTGGGGTTGACTGTAAAATCTCTCTCACGTTGAGTGGAGTGGAGACAGGGAAATGAAAGCCTTTGTTAGCCGTTACTGGGCAGGTACTGAGTGACATTAGTTGACCAACAGAAAATGTAAACAGAACTTGCTATTCGTCCTATTGAGACGACACAGCAAAACATTCTGCACACTATTGCTTATAGTGTAAGGGACCGTCTCGAGTTCTTTGGGTACATGATAGGAAAAGTTATTTTCCTTCTCGTGACTCTTGCGCTTGACAATTAAGGAAGGGAAATAAAAGTAGTTTGTTTACCAAGTTGCTAACTTGAACATCAACCCCTCGCACAAAGCAGGAGCTGGTACAGAAATTCACAGAATAAATGTGACTTAAGGGAAAAGGAATGTAGCTCAAGGCAAGACTAGCCTGATCACCTAGTTTCTTCGCCTGCTCATAGACTTCCCATTGTCAAGTCCCAACTTGAAAAAGACTGTAAACCTATCTTTATTTAAGTGTTGCATACTTGGAAAGCAGTCATGAGTGTTGACAAAGTCCACCAGCATGATGGTGCCTCCAGAGTTGGCACTACTCCGGTGTATGGTGACACCAAAGTTCCATAACAGAAAAGTTTAATTTGGACAATACTCCATAACAAACAATTGTTTGTAACTGGAAACGGAAACAAAACTGAATTCATACTTGTGATAGTCTGCTCTCACAGAGAGGTCTCGACCATTCTCTGAAAGCACAGTCTAATCTGATAATGCTCTGTCTAACCTTGTCAAACTGGACAGTTGAATGAAAGCTAGTTCAGCTCCGACTGTAATCTGACCTGGATTCATTGAGTATCCATGAGAGGTCAGGCCAGCAAAGGAAAAGAAACGGGAAAGTTCAGACAAAAACAAACTGCATACAAATGTAGAACGCATGTAGAAAACTTCTTACTAATGCTTAGAACAAAAAAGAATTCAGCCTTTTGTCCAAACAATCTTGGGGAAGCACTATTGGGTATGAACAGAGGTGAGACTCTAATAAACCCATAGTGACAGTTCGAAACTCGAAGCTGTTCAGTTTGTCAGCCCTATAGGGATGACATTTATCACCTGGTGATACGGGTTCACTCTTTTTATCCCACTGGGTTTTTGAGTTTGTAATCCCATTACTTATCCTAAATGTGAAAAGTGAAAAAGGCATTCAAGTAAGTTGCAGATTTTATCCACCCGACACAAAGGGTGAAATGCCCAAACAGAGCAGTGCTCTGTGGGTTGGTTCTTGTTTTAAAAAAGAAAACAAATATGAAGTTCCACAAATCTCTGACAACATATCAAGCTGTGCACTAGTTCCCCACTAAAGTAAGCCTGAAGGTAGTTATGTTTGCCAGAGATAGTGCAGGACTTCTCACTAGTCACTGCACCAAACTGAGTGAGTCACTCCCTCAGAGAGATAAAAGAAAACTTCTCTAAAAAGTTGTTTCTCATTACTGATTTTGACCATCTCTATTACACAATACTTAGTGTAATGAGGGCAAACAAGTGCATCACTTGTGTAAGAGTAATGTTCTATAAATTAGAAAAGTATCATTCCACCTAGATTGTGTTATGACACGGAAAATTAAAATAATTCTCCACGATGTCACAACTGTACTGGGTGAAAGACAAATACTGACAAAAGCGGTGCCCTCTTCGTAACCAAACTGCTTGTGTGAGCTGATACACAAAAAGGTTTAACCATTACACCAAACCAAAGTTTGCTTATTATTGTAAAAAATAAATAATGGCATACACAGTTTGGAAAGCAATTTGTCACAGACTCGAATGGCCTAGAGGTTACTTGCTGGACCCAACAGTGGCTTCATGCAATACCAGCACTCATGTCAAAATAAAATGTCAAATAACATTACTTTACACGGGCACACAAAAGTTAGTGTGTTGCGTGTGCTGCGAAACCTGTCACATCAAGCCATCCGGGAGTCACAACAGTTATAGACTGATGTAGAAAACATTCATTGAACAATGAGAATAACAAGGTGAACAAATTATTCCCATCGTGACGCTCATCACAATTGAATACTCCTAAGGATCGGCAAACATGTCACTTCCAAAGTGGGCGTTACTTCTTTGCAAAATCTATGAAGTAATTGGTCGATGTCAGGTTGACCAAACAATGCAGCACAAACATCAAGTGTTCAGGGGTTCCTTGGTGACTCTGCACTTTGATAATGAGTTAACTTTGCCACAAAGTTGGACTTCATTGCACAAATTAGTTACTCCATTATTAAAAGGAGGGTGATGAAGGTGAATCTAAAGGAGAAAAAGGAAAGAAAGGGGAAGTAAAGGAATCAGTCATGGGACTGGATGATGTCATTTTGAGCTTTATGTAACAAAAGTCATTTGACATCAAGTGCAGAAATGTATATCTCTGGCACAAGAAAACAACCACCTGTGTCGCTGACGAAGTTAGGGCATTAGGCTAAGACACAGTTAAAGTAGGTGTAGTGGGTTATGACCCAAAGCAAAGTGAAACTGTAGTGTCAAGCACACCACATGTACTCTGCTGTTCACCGAAAACCAACTGATGTAAAAACATATCAGAATCGTGTAAAGGTTCAGCATAACCCCAAAGTTCCTATCACTTCTTGGATAGATCACCAGACCACCAGATAACTATTGTCCGTCAGTCCCACTAATAACTTTCCAGTTAACAGTGAGGTCTCAAAGACTAGTAAACAAACTGACGAATTGTTGGAGCTGTATTATATTGAATAGTACAACAAAAACTTAGACAACCATTGCTAACACAGGCTTTGTCTGACTAGCAGAAAAACTGAATTGTTTACCAGTTGTTTGCAGTTGCAATTTCTCATGTCAACAGGCTGTTAGTTAAGTCAGTGCAGCCAACTTGTTAAGAGACAGATACTTGTCTCCCAAAAGGGGGGAGATGTTCTAGACGTGAGTTGGCATCACTGCCGTCGTCTGCATTGTCTACGTAAAGCTTACGCTACCTGCCGTAGGATAGCGCCACCAGCGCCTATGC